TTACATATATAGGTACTACATGTGGACCTCTCTCAGAATTGTTCATTTTGTAATGATATCTTTAATTCTCTAATTTTGGTGAATATTTTTATCATTTTTGGTAAAAAGTGATATTTTCGACTTCTTGTTAAAAACTGTAAGTCCGATTGCTTTGATACTATTCATATTGTTCATTTTCTAATGATGTCTTCAGTTCTTTAATTGAAATGTGCATTGCTAACAGCGGAGCTATCTCAGCCGATAGGCTGCTTGTTGTTATTTTATATGTTTTTGAATTGTACTTGCGTTATATAGACATGTTGCTATAGTTGTTAAGTCTGCCACTTTTTGCTATAGATTCAATATTTACTCTCACAGTCACTGTCATAACTACGATACTAGGAAGAAGGTTGTTTTGTTAGCAAGGGGAGAGACACCAAAAAATACCATTTTAAATATTTCTACATCACTAGTGCCAACATCTTTATATTTTAAAGTATCCTCCATGGATAGCCAGAATGAATTGTGTATATTGGTGTCAGCGAGCAATGTATAAAAGCATTGTATTTATGTTTAAATTCAGACGACTGTATTTATGCCATTTCAAGCAATCCATAAATAACAATGTATGATATAGATTATCAGCAATGCGCACCTGAAAGCTGTCTAGTTCTGTATGTCTCTGTGTAATTTTATGCTGAATGTCGCACACATTGTCTGGGTCATCCACGTCAATTGCTAAAATATTTCCTGCTAATACTCACAAAACATTAATAATTCAAACTGTTTTATGAATTGGTACACATTATTAGAAAACACACTTAGTGTCATTTTATCAAACTAAAGATTAAGAACATTATCGGAGATTTCAGACACCCCATAATGTAACCTCACACAAATAATATGGTCTTATAGGATTAAATGGATATGGATATATTGAATATTTAACTCCACTGAAAATAATTTCTACATGATTTCCCTGGTTGCCTGCTTATAATGAATTCAAGAATTAGAGTATGATTAGGTGCAATTTTACTTTTTAAAATGGATCGCCATGCATCCTGCTTGTGATAAATAATTAACAGTGTGATGACTTCATTTACAGATTTTTTTATATCTTCCTAGTATATAGTTTCAGTATATTTTTAGCTCCGCTGTCGACAAATGAGCGGAGCTTATCATATGAGTGATTGTCTGTTGTCGCCTGTGTCAATGTTTTACTTTTTCGACTTCTTCTTGAAAACTACAAGCCTGAAAGCTTTGATACTTGGTGTTAAAAACTTTTTGTTAAAAACCGCAAATCCAATTGCTTTGATATTACATATATAGGTACTACATGTGGACCTTTCTCAGATTTGTTCATTTTGTGATGATATCTTCAATTCTCTAATTTTGATGAGTATTTTTGTCATTTTTGGTGAAAAGTGATATTTTTGAATTCTTGTTGAAGTCTGATTGCTTTGATACTGTTCATTCTTCATTGTTCATTTTCAAATGATACATGTATATTCAGTTCTTTATTTGTAATGTGCATTGCTAACAGCGGAGCTATCTCAGTTGACAGGCTGCTTGTTTGGAGATGTCATTGTTTTTGACGGTTAAATAAAATGCCTTGTATTAAAACACTGAAGGCAGTTTTCAACTTTTTGAAATGACGTTGCCATTTCATGTAAGGTTGAATCTATTAACCTT